CAGCCTCACCCTACCAGCGCCACACAGAAATCGGCTTCAGCGAGAGTCGGGCCTTGAGCCTCCGAGTCTCGGACCTGCCCGAGGACACAGTCACGTTTGTCTGCAAAGTGGCCTGCACCTCCGGAGGCATCGTATCCCGCGTGTGCGGCGTGGACCTCTCCGTGGGCGGTGAGCTCGCTTTCCGCGGTCCCCACCGACTGGGACCCCTTGGCTTTGCCGGGTGTGAAGCAGAAATCTGCACACGGGAGAAGTCTTTCTTCTCCCACCACCGGTTTATCTCACAGCATTTGAGAATGCGGGAAAGCCAGAAATCAGTAGAATTGGGGCCCTATTTGGTGAGACTTTCCTCCCCTCCCTCGGCTTCTTCTCCTTTCTCCTCCTCCTGGCCTCCCCCACTTCTCCCCGTGCCCCTACCCCTCCTCCTCCTCTCTCTGGCCAGGAGGACTGCTTTACCCTTTGTCTTTGAGCACTAGTACTAGGAAGATGGACTTCCGTAGCTGTCACGTAGGGACATCCTTCAAAAGAGCAGGTGAAAATACAACAGGGGAATAAAAAACAACGGTCCCCATGTCACATCAGGCAGCATTTACCCACTGGGCCTGATCTCGTCTACACTGCTGGCTGCAGTCCCTGGGAGGGAAGGACTAAGATTCCAGGGATGGTGGCTGCTGTGTGACTGTGGGAAGCCAGACATGGGGGCAAACGGTTATAATCACAGTGCTTGGGAGGCCGAGGCAGGAGGCTCTCCAGGGGTTCGAGGCCAGCCTGGCCTGCACAGTGAGTTAGAGAACAGCCTGGGCTACATAGTGAGACCCTGTCTCAAAAAGCCAAGAAAAGAAAAGAAGGAGTGTGGGTTTTGAACACCAAGTCTTCTACTGGCCGCGGACACTCCCCCGAGCCTCAGTTTCCCCAGCTGTGTGAGGAAGATGGTAACTTCTACCTCATGAGCGATGACCCGAGCCTTAGTATGCGAAGCACCTGACCCAATGCCAGGCCAGGCATCGGCATGAAGAGCGTGGCTGTGCCTCCTCCAAGGGGCGCCACTTCGGGGACATAGCTCAAGCCCGTGGGCCCTTCCGCCCCAGCCCTCGGGACAACAGCCTGTTTCTCCCGCTGAGTTTAGTGTCACCAGACCGAGGGAGCCTGCTTTATTCGCATCGCAGCCCTGTGGCGCCAGGTCCAGGTGCCCAGGGACACTTTCCACCTCGTATTTAGCATCTGTGAGCCCTCAGCGCTAACCACGCATGCACGCGGCCCCCTCTGAGCAGGTTTAGAGCCTTTGAGAAGGGCGGGCTGGAAGCGGCACAATGCTCTGAGCATGGCGAGGCGTTCCAAGGAGAGACCCAGTGGACTCTGGTTTCAGACAATGCCTCCAGCTCAGCACCTGTGTGTATGGGGTTGGGGGGTGCTGCTCAGTGTACCAGGCTGTGCACTGCACAATCTCAAAGAGCCTGGCTTTGGTAGGGCTGGGTTTTCAGAGCTAGGAAGAGGCAGGCAGCTTTACGCCTTTCCTTCCGGCTCCTTCTCACGCTGCCCAGAGTTCATCCAAGTTGTGCAGAAATTGAACAATCCAGGCACAAGCTGAACCTTGGAGACCAGTCCCCAAGCAACTTAGGAAATCAAGGCGATGAATGAAAGACAAGAGATTCTTGCTTGGCTGTTTTCAGTACAACATGAGGTCTGGCTGTTGATGTTGCTGACAGCTGTTTCTCCAACTTTGCTTCCCATACTGAGTCAGGTTTTAAAACCAGTAAGAACTGCGCCCCTGCTCACAGTGTCTTTTCATCCACACTGTTTAACCGTCAGAGGAGGAGGCGACTTTGTCCCTTTCTTTGCCTTGAGACTTTGTCCTGAGGCTCAGGTGTCCTCAAGACAGACGGCCTCTGGCAAAGCTGAGTCCTGGGCTGGGGGACGTGGAGGTCGCCAGACTCTGGCTGGGCAAGGACTTCACTTCCGGTGTGGAAGGCACAGGCCTCGGCCTGGGGGGCAGATGTGGGAGGCAGGTGCCAGCCGCTCCAGGATCCAAGGCGGGGCTTGGGTGCGGACAGCAGCTGGACCCACAGGGTTGCTTCCTTTCTGTCCGAAAGGAGCCCGTAAATTCTACAGGCACAAACTGGGGAGAACAGGAGGGTGGGGAGGCTGGAGCGGAGCCGGATAGGGGTGCCCCGGCTCAGCCTCCGGCCCTCACTGAGAAAGCCGAGCAGAGACTCGCCGGGCACCACAGGCCTCCCCGACACACTCGGAAGTGGGGGATGCCGCGTAGCTCCAGTGGGACTGAAAGCAGGACACTTGACGCCAGCCACGTCCCAGGTCCCACCCCGCCCCAACACCCTGGCCACAGCCGGTGACAGGGCTCAGCGGGGCCACTCAGAAAACAGCAGCTGCGAGGATGTGCGCACACAGCACTCCCAGACGCCTGGAAAGTCCCTGCCTCCGTGGGAAACACCACCGGGCCCAGGAAGGAGCCAGAAAAGCTCAGCACGGAACCCCGGAGTGGAACCGGAACCCCCAGGGTCCCCAGATTCACTCCCACAGAGTGTTTACTGCCCTCCATGCATGTGTAAATTCGGAAGCCAGATGTCACATGCGAAGGACAGAAACCCAAACAAGCAGCGGGACAGGCACACAGCCAAGGGGGAGGCGGAGTGGGGGAGCCAAGGAGTGTTGGGAGCCACCCCATGCCCCATTAGGCACAAAACCAAGGGGTGCTCCAGGAAGGAAGTGTTCAGAAAACTGGAACGGCCCCGGGATTTGAAAAAGGGTAAGTAGAAACGAAAAACTCCAAGGATGTTTTGCTTTGGAAAGTAGAGCAGAAAGAACAAGAGTTTCAAATACAGCAGGTGAAACATAAAATTAGGGGAAAATCCAACCTGTGACGAATAGGGACTTTCAGAAAGAGGAAAAGAGGGGAGGAATCAGAGAAATTTTCCAGGGAAGTTTCGAAAACTGAGGGACTGGAGCTCCCAAAAGTGTGGCCTTTTGAGAATCTGATAAAACAGACAAAAACAGAGCTTCGGTGAGCACATCTTCATGAAAACGCAGGATGGCAGAGACAAAGCAGAGATCCCATAATCTTCCAAAGAGAAAACCATATGCATTGATTCAAGAACCTGACTGGCTCCAGGCCATGGAGAGCAGCAGCAACCTGAAATGTAGAAGGGCACCAAAGCACGGTTCTCTGGCACCTGCGTGACAGCTCTTCCCAAGGTGGAATGGTTTATGCAGCCAGAGAAGTAAAGACTTTAAACCGTGCTCAAAACATTTCCTCCCACACACCCTTTTCCCAAGAGAGCTACTGCAGGGTGTGCTCCACCAGCACAAGGAGCTAAGCCAGCCAGGAAAGAAGAAAGCAGCACGTAAGAAGCCAGAGCTCCGCCGTGGGAGAAAGTGGAGAGAACATCTGGCCCCCGGGAGTGGCGGTCCCAGAATGGGCTCTGTACCGGGGAAGGGCAACCTGTCCAGAGGGAAAGGCCACGGAGCTCGGGAGAGAGGTCCTCACGTGGGCGGGACGGTTCCACACCTGGGGCGTTTGCGTGTGCTGACCAGCGACTCAGGCAACTGGCTTGGGTCTTTGGCGTTCCATTAATAATTAGGAAGCAAAACAAACGGCAGAACAAGATCATTAGTCGCTCACTCCAACACCAACAAAGTCACGTAGAACAGAAAACACGGTACTCTGTTTCAGTCCTGATAGGACAGGTACACAGATGTAGACTGTACATGTAACAGTGTGCATGTCCACAGACATTTACATGTTTCTATATTGTGTGTGCATGTATGTTCAGACACATGTATACCACTCCCATGTTTATAAATGTGCTGCATGCATGTGCATATTTGTATATATACACAAGGAAAAGTCTGCTCTTTTTTTTAGATGGGTCTCACTATGTAGTCCAGGCTGGCCTTGAACTCACTATGCGGCCAGGCAGTCCTCCTGCCTCAGCCTCTGAAATGCTGGGGTTACAGGCATGCGCCTCGACACCTGGCAGAAGTCTGTTGTTTTAAGTTTATTGTATGAAATGAAACATGTGGACTCTCTATTGTCACGCCTATCATATAGGTGGAACCGAAGCTGTGAGATGCTAATGTGTCCACACTCACAGGATGGGAGTTGCTGTACCTGTATCTGTAGTAGCTTCCAAGGACTCGAAGAAAAAGACACTCACTCCGTTAGTCACATCTCGGGGGTGGTATCCAGGGCTTCCGCGGGATTCCTCTTTGCTCTCTCCCCAGGAATAGCTGTGTACCCATGGGTCTCCGTGTTGGGGTGAAAGGATGACTGGGTACCAGTATTTCTTCCAGCCTCTGAGAAACCCTAGCGCTCATCCGACCTGTGACTAGAAACGGCTTCATTTAAAAATACACCTTGCAGTAGAGAGGCCCGCGCTGGCCCTGAGCCCTTACTCTTGGCACAGGGAACACCGTGCCCAGCCCACGGAGGACCCACTGGCTCTATCTATAAAGAATCCACCCGGAATCCTCCACTTATGGCCAGGGTGGGTGGTGCCATCCAGCCGTGGTGAGCGATGGAGCAAGAGTCCCGAGGACGTCTCGTGTTGGGCCCTGATCTTCACCGGGGCTCCCGGGTCAGGGCGGGTCCCCCCTGGGGCTGAGCTCGCTTAGCATGGGCGTGTGTGGTGCCCAGAGAGCACTTGCGCATACCAACCCGTGTCTGGGTGACAAGGCTGATGCCGCGGGGCCTGGTCGTCCCTGGGGTTCGGAGGCCGGGGAGGCGCACGATCGCCCTTCTGTTGGCAGATAACGCCCATCTGACCGAAATATCCCTGGTTCTTCCTACAGCTGCTCCAGAGCGCCCTCGAAACGTGTCCTGTGTGCAAGAGGGACAGCACGGAACCGTGGCCTGCTCCTGGGACCCAGGCCGAGCCACCTACCTGAGCCGCATTTACATGCTGCGGTGCGTGAGGGGCTGTGTCGTGGCCACGGGGGTCCTAGCGAACGGCCGGGCGCCGGCCGGAGAAGCAGCAGGAGATGCTGGAGATGGATGTGTCGCTCCTGTGTGGCCCAAAGGGGACGCGGACGGGTGTCTCGCTAGACCCAGTCATGTCTTTTGTCCACAGGCTTCACGGACCCAGAAATTTAACTTGGCAGAAGCGGTGTAGGAATCACTGTCGTCACCTGGACCTCGGAATCAGCCTCAGCCCCGAACTCCTGGAGTCCAATTTCACAGCTGAGGTTAGCGTCGCAAACCGCCTCGGAAACGTGTCCTCGGTTCCAACCACGTTCTTGTTCTTGGACATAGGTACGTTTGGCCCAGCAGCTCAGCGTCCCTCGATGGGCAAGGACGGAGACCAGAGTCGCTCTGACGCAGGCGAGGTGCCCACCCCAGGAGCCCAGCGGGGTGCGCCCCTTCCGTCTCTCATTGAGAAGTGGGCGCCCCGGGCTCCGCACCCACAAACACACTGGCTGCCAAAGATAGCAGGGACTGCGCAGGGCCCCGGGGGTCGTTCAGGAAGCTCACTGAGGCCCCAAAGGTCCAGGCGTCCTTTTCCCCATGACTTCACCCAAGGTTCACTGGTGGCTACAGCGCCCAGAGATGCATGACAAAATCAATGGAGTGTCTCGTGCTGTGAGGAGCGCATCTTGCCGTGAGGATACTCCACACCCCTCCCAGCGTGCCTGAGCTAATGCAAGGCATGACCAAAATATACAGTGAATGTTTAGATTCTTTAAAATGTTTTGTGTAAAAGCCCACTGCCACGAATCCCCCTGGAAATCCTCCTGCTGCCCCAGGCACACCCATCCGACCGCCCTTGCCACTTCCTGCAGCGTCTCTGGCGTGCTCTTTCTCGAGCGTCTTTAGGAGGTGTGATTTTTTAAAATGCAGTGACTGCTGCTGCCGAGCGCTGCCCAGCAGAAAGGCAGCTCAGAAAAGCACGACACTGTGTGCTCGTCCACCTCGGTCACCCGACCTGGCACCGTGTGACTTCCTGCTCTTCCCCAGGTCACAGTGAGCAGGAGAGGCAAAGGTTTAGAAAGAGTCAGGATGTCGCGGCCTCGGGACAGCAAAGGAGAGACCCTCAGGAGAGAGGTGCAGAGCGGCTGCGGGAAGCGGCCAGGATGACAGAGGAAGGGTTGGAGAGGGGTTCATGGCGACATCTTTGACTGTGATAGATATTTTTTAACATTCACATTCACTGGACTCCACCACACCCTGGGCCACTGGGCCCCTCGAATCAGAGGCCAGTGTTCTGGGCACCCCAGACTCTGTCCCTCGAGGTGGCATGGGCCGCCCTCACCCCGGTCTCTTGCTGTCCCCACCGCACCCCTCACCCCTCTCCTGCCTGAGTCTGCAGTTGGCCTGCGCTGCTCTGCTCTCAGCCCTTGCTCCTGGCCTGTGTCCCCACAGTCCCTCTGTCCACCAGCAGCCACCCCTGCCCAGCTCTGCCTTCCGGCCACTGGGCCTCCCGGGTCTGCAACTGGTTTGCTTTAAGTCACTGGGTGAAGCAGAACAGAGGTGCGGGCTGAGAGGGTGCTCCGAGGCCAGCTGTCTGTGACAGCTGAAGCTGGTCTTCAGCAGTTTCTGAGCTCCAGCCTGAATCGCACTCTTCCCTCTGTCCTGGGTCCTAGCGAAGCCGCTTCCTCCGCGTGACCTCAGAGTCCAGTTCCCGAATGGGTCCAGCAGCCACAGTACCCTCCAGTGGACTGACGAGGCCTGGGTGCTGCTCAACCAGCTCCGGTACCGGCCCATTGACAGCAGGTCCTGGACGATGGTAAGGGCCTTTGAGGGAGGGGCACTCGAGAGTCTTCAGGACCGAGACACAGACCACTGCTTGCTGGAGAAGCAGAATGTGGAGTTTAAGAATATTTGGCCAGAGTTGGACATGGAGGTGCACACCTGTCATCCCAGCACTCAGGAGGCTGAGGCAGGAGGATCACTGAGTTCAAAGCCAGCCTGGGCTGCACAGTGAGACCCTGCCTCAAACACCAAACCAAAACAGAACAAATAAAAAAGAATATTTGGCCTGTGAGTACACACTTGGGATTTATTAGAAAGTCATGTGTACTTCTGTCCACTAAGAATATCTCGAGCTCCAATTCTGACAATGTTTAAGCCATTGGCTGTTATAAACCAATATTAATTTCCTGCAGTTTATTTTAGTAAAGAATTAATTTTGAGGACAGGGATTTAGCTCATTGGTTCTGCGGCCTGCTTTGCAAGCAGAAGGTCCCGAGTTTGATCCCTGGTACCACCAAAAAAAAAAAAAAAAAAAAAAAAAAAT